CTGAAGTTTCTGGGTTGCTCATATCCTTCTTTTGAGGGTCCTGCCTTAACCCCTGGATCCTTAGGGAATGTGCTGCTCCTCCTCTTTGCCTGGTGGGAGCTCTGACCCAGTGGTGGGTTTTGCCAGGCAAAGTCTGGGATGTAAATCAGGATAATGCAGGAAAAGATACTCACTCTGAGTTAAGTCTTTTGCCTCTTGGTTTCAGTCCCCTCAGCAGAGGTTTTTATGCTGTTTCATTCTGTGGATATCCAGGGTTAGGAATCATGTTGGAATTCTCTCAGAGTTCTGACTTGCACCCCTTTCCTTCCCCAAGCTGCTTCAGAAGAAGATGATGAAGTTGTGCTGATGATTAAGGAGCTGCTGGATACAAGGATAAGGTAAGCAGGGAACAGCTATCACTGCTGGATGAGTGAGTGAGCCCTGGGGCAGTAATTTTCAAGAGTCTCTGCTCTTCTGGGTGCTTAGTTTGTGCTCCCTCTGGTGTGTCAGTCCTTGATTTTCCAGTGGCCCTTTGTAATTTCTGCCCAAATTTCTGGTTTTCCCACCTTTTCCTTTCTTCCATGTGCCCCTCAGTGGTTGATGAGAAGATTAGCAGTGATGAATCTTCATGGATGGTTCACGGGAGCTCTGTCCCAACCAGGGTAGACACAGCATTTCTTGTCCAGAGAGATGTGAAGAAGTTGTCAGGAGGTGTAGGATGGAGGAAATGTAGGTCTGAAAGGTCCTGTAGGGTGTTAAAAAAAATTACTACAAATAAGAAGGGAATTTTTAGTCATGTTCTGTGGCTTTCTGGAATGGAGATAATTTGCTGTGCTGAGTGAATCAATGTTCTCAGGTTTTTCTCTTAGGCCTGCAGATCTCAAAGAGTTATTTTGGAAATCATAAAGAGCTTCTGTTGGAGCAGCTTGGTGGTTCTAGTTTGGTCTGGAAAAGTGTTGCTATGGGGACCCAGCTCTACTGCTGGGTATTTGTGGCTGGCAGGGGCAGAGCAGGCCCTGGAAATGCTGATGGCACTGGGCTGAGCTTATCAGGAGCTGCTTCCTGCCCTGAGCTGACAGTGAGAGCTATTCTCTGTCCTGTGTAAATTATGGAGAACAGTATGTTTATTTATGGGACCTCTTATCACTGTCCCTCCCCAGGTGACAGCTGCACATGCATCCTGTGCTGGGACACACCTGTGGGACTGGCAGCAACTGGGAACCAGTGTGTTGGATCGAGCTCTGCTCCAAGGGCCTTCCCCTCTCCCCTGGAAGTTCATGATTCCTTCCCAGGCTTGCAAAAATGTTGGGCTTAATGTCCTGTGGAAAACCAGTTTGTGTCAATGTGAGAGTCCAGCAGAGCAGCAGTTGTTGGAAGTTTGGACCAGGTGGCACAGAAAGCTTTAGTGACTATATCTGGACAGTTTTTGTGTGTATTAAATTTCACCTTCCTAAAGGTTTCCCTATTTCAGCTCCACTTGTCCTGTTCCTTCAGGCCAACAGTGCAGGAAGATGGTGGAGATGTTATCTATAAGGGCTTTGAGGATGGGATTGTGCAGCTGAAGCTGCAGGGCTCCTGCACCAGCTGTCCCAGCTCCATCATCACCCTGAAGAATGGGATCCAGAACATGCTCCAGTTCTACATCCCCGAGGTCGAGGGCGTGGAACAGGTCAGTGGGGACAGGTCAGAGAAGGAGAAATTTGTCCCTTTGCAGCCTGCACAGGTCCCAACCTTCCAGGTTAGGGAAGAGCACAGGCTGAGGAGCCCAGACCTTGACACTGTTTGCTGCCACCTTTGTGCTCTGGGGCCTTTGGGTGATCAAACCCAATGAGCTTTTTCCCCCTGAAATGCAGATTCTTTTGCTTTCTCATGAAAAAATCTGATAATGTAAGGAGATTGGTTTTGTGGCCTTTGTGGTAACTTGACCATGTCCTATTATTTCAGCTACATTTCCTCCTGGCATTTTGGATTGCAAGTTTTTTTTACCTTTCTCATTGGAATTTCTCACTGCCAATTCCCTTCCCCACTGCCAATTCCCTTCCTCACTGCCAATTCCCTTCCCCACTGCCTCTCAGCAGTGAGGGATAACTGCTGCTCTCCTCAGGGATTTAAGGTAATCAATCCCGTGGGACTGAGGATTTAAACTGTTTACCTAAACTACTTCTGGGTTTGATTTCAGGTTGTTGACGACGATGATGACGTGGGGAAAGAAGTAAATTCTACTTGAGCTTATGTCATCCGTGGCCAAATAAGCATTTACCTCCTGGTGGATGTAAACTGTGCTGAGAACAACCAAATTTGCCTTTGCAGACAAAGAGTTGCACTTCCCTGTGAAATTCTATCACCACTAAGCAGTTTGTCCACTAATTTATTAGGTGTCCTGCATTCAAACCAGTTAGTTTGCTCTACTTTGTGCTATGTCTTAGGAAAGAAGTGGTGGGTTGAAAACCAGTGATGTGTTTCTGCTTTGTTTTGTCCCACAAAACCTTCAGGACTGAGAAAAGGCAGAAGGGGAAAGTGTTTGGACTGTTTTATTGTGTGCAATAGCAATCTGTAATGTTTATTCCCCCAGACCTCCTCGTGGGGCTGTCAGGCCCTGGGAATAGGAATTTTATCCAGTCTTAGTAAAAAGCTTTTTGATTCCTGTAATTTTTCTGTGTGTGAAGATAACCCATCATTTGAACTGTTCTGTTGGAGGGTGTAACACTTTGTGGGACTGTACCTGCCTACTCACTGCCACAGCAGCACCAGAGACAAGAAACGTCAGTTGTTTGTTACCAAAAAATCCCTGATCGAAGAAGATGATCCTTATCAGCTTGGGTAAGCAGAGAGGCTAATTAGCTGGCTTAGAAGTCAGGTAGTTCAGGCACCATTAGTGGTCTGTTTAAACATGCAAATGGGGATTTCTCAGCTGGGCGCTCGGGGGCACAGATTCCATCTGCAGGACGCAGGATGTCCTGTTTGCTCTCCGCGGGGCAGGGCAGCACACTCTGCAGGGCTGGAGACCACGGGCAGAGAAATGTTTGCTGTCCTGCCTCGGGAGGCTTTGCAGGGCGTTGTGTTTGCTCTGGGAACGCTGTTCCTTCTCTGTGCTGCCACCGTGGTGGGTGTGTGGCCTGTGGTTGTGTTCTCTCTGTGCTAGGATTTGACATCCTCTGCTGTGTTCCCTTCTCTCACTCCTTTCCACCGAGTCCCCAGGCAGGACCAGCTCGGTCACTGGAGAGTCTTTCCTGCAGCAGGAGCCATAAACTCCTTATGAAATCCAACAAGAAATGCTTCAGCTCAGTATTTCTTCTGTTTTCATGGAGAGTTATGACCCACAGTGGGTTAAGTTACCCTCTCAGGATTGGGAAATGCATGTTTTCCTTACCCAGTGCCCATCTTAGCAGTGTGTTATGGCACAATCCCCTCGAGGCAGGCACAGTCTGCCCAGGGAGAGCTGTGCAAACATCCTTGCCGTGTTCTCTGTCAGCCACCTCAGAGCAGTGAGTCATGTTCTGCTCTCTCAGAGCTTTTTAGGCCTGATCTCTCAATCGAATGCACAGTATAAACTGAAACCTAAACAGCAAAGTTCTGTGTGGTGAGCAGAATGTACCTGTGGCAGATGTGGTTGTTACTCCCTCAGCTGAGCAGTGCTGATCTCTTCCAGGTACTGCAAGTTCTGCTGCTTTTTGTTTTTAATGGGGTTTGAGTTGTACAGACAGGACCAGATGAAGCCTGTGTGCACTCAGGGTGAAGGTGAAGCATCTTGTGGTTTTGAGCCTGAAGGGATTTCATGTCCAGTATCTGTCGTGTGTGTCCTGGAGTTCCTTGAGCTCTGCTGTGGAGAGAGAAGGTGCTAACACATCTCATCCTCTCCTACCTGTGCTGCCCCATCACAGAGTAAGCTCTGGATCCATGGAAGTGGAGGGAGGGTGGGAAGTGCCAGTTCTCACCTGGGAAACAGGACAAAAGCTGCTGTGACCAGAACCAACACTCTGCTGGTGTGGTGAAGTCAGCCCAGACATTGTGTTCTCTGTGAACCTTCAAGCTCTGTCTGGAACAGCTCGTGGAAAGAATCCCTGTCAGTGAGAGGTGTCACATCTCCTCCCCTCCCCCAAAAAACCTGTCACGGCGCTGACTCTTCAGTGTTTGGCTTGGGGCTGAGTGAGGTGGACACATCTCTGTGCAGGGCTGCGGGGAGTGTGATGTGTTCCCAGCTCTGTCTCACCAGGGCTGCTCAGCTGGGGCTGGGAAACCTCTCGGCTCAGCAAGGCTTTCTGGCTCTGAAGTCTTTCCATTCTATTTAAAGTAGCAGTGAAATGATTTGGTGTGTTTTCAAAGGTGCTTTGGGTTTTTGCTGTGCTGTAGTTGTGTTTTCACCCGTGTCAGAGGACACACATGATCCACTCGTGTTCCCTAGGCTCTTACAGGGAGGGTTGGTTAGAGCTGGAGAGAGAACAGTGATAGGGCTGGGGCAGTCACAGCCTCCCTGGGCAACCTGTGCCAGTGTCTGACCACCCTGGAGCATCAAAAACCTATCCTAATATCTAGCCTAAATTTCCTTCCCCTCCTTAATTTGAACTTGTTACCCCACTGCAGCTCCTAACAAAGACTCCCTCCCTGGCTCCCCTGGAGCCCCTTCAGATACTGACAGACTACTATGAGGTCTGCATGCAACCTTCTCTTCTCCAGGCTGAACAGCCCAAACTTACTCAGCGCATCCAATCCCTCTCTGGGCAACCTGTGCCAGTGTCTCACCACCCTGGAGCATCTGATACCTCCCTGAGCAACCTGTGCCAGTGTCTCACCTCCCTCACAGGGAAAACTGCCCAATATCGAACCAACATTTCTCCTCCTTCAACTTGAATCCGTCACCCCTTGCCCTGTCATAGAATCATAGAATCAACCT